ATTTCTCCTGGGATGTTAACTGGTCTTGATTTTGTTGGGAGTAGAGGTTGTCATACACATGCTGTGCATCAGAACCACTTAGTGGGTTTGCTAAAACACAGGTTTCTGGGCCCCACCCCTGGAGTCTCGCCTTCAGTAGGTCTGGGTTAGCTGGCGAACTTGCATTTCTAGCAAGTACCCAGGAGATGCTAATGTTGCTGGCCCAGGGACCATGTTGAGAGCTGCTGGTTTAGAGCTGTGAAGTGGGACTGTAGTAAAGCTACCAAAGGCCTCATGGCCCTATCCAGGTAAGACAGATCTCCTGGGCTGAGGAGACAGATGTAGAATGGCAGTTGGGGAGTCCAGTTTCCATCTGTCTTTTGTAACCCCTATACCACCTGCCATTCTCTTTTTGATTGAAACATAAAAGCCTTTTTTGTTTTTCTTAATGTTTTTATAAGCTCAAACTCATTCTGTTTTTTGCCTTTGTGACAGGATTCTTCTGGGGCTCTGTCACTATACCTTGGTTATTGTAATCAGGACAAATGGGTAGTGACTCAGCATGGGAAGAGTCCAGGATCTGTCCCTTACCAACCATGGGACCCTATACAAGCTACTCACCCCCTGAGGCTCTGTGTCTTGTTTTTAAAATGGGTAGTTGCCACAGTTCTCTCATTACATGAGACAAAGCTTAGCAAGGTATCTGGCACAGGAGTGTTGGGGTGCTTATGTGTGGCCCTCATCTATTTTCTACATTATTCTCCAATCTGAGTTCACTGGAGAGCCCCCTGACCGGTCATCAGATGCTCTTTACATACCAGACACTATGCAAAGGAGGGGGATGAAGTGGTACCATCGCTGCCCCATGGCACTTACACCTTAGATGATAAATGATACAAATCCGTCAATATCACAGTGCGCACTAGGGATGGTTTAACCAGACGGCACCATGGTTGGCCAGGTCTCTTGACATGAAGCCTGGCTCTGCCACGTGCCGGGCTTTAGTGCTGGGTGGGCTCAGCGTGACCAGCACTGGGCTCTGGAAGTGATTTATAGAAATGATTTCATTAAGTCTTCACCACAACCCTAATTGCCATTGCTAGAGTAACTCTCATTGCTTTTCCTCCTTGTGAATGGACGGCTTGGGATGCTAAACCAGCCCTGGGAGCTTGCTGACTCATATGTGGGCATGTCTGGGGTGTTTCATGCCACCCCAGCAGCATTCGTACCATGGGATGGCTACCGGCAGGTGGCTGCTTTTCTTCTGAAAGATGACGTGAGTGTGAAGGAGTGTGCAAGCACATCAGGGATGACAAAAGCAAGGTCAAGGGGAAGATGACAGGGAGACCCTCAACTGGGGATCCTACAGCACTGCACCAAGCCCCAGGTGCCAGTGGGTGGTTGGTGGGACCCTGAGGTGCTCTGACTTAGCAGCTTGTTCTGCCTGGTGGGAAAGCTGCCCTGTGCTTGGAGTAACTGCGGTGGGCACATGGAGTGCTCAGATCTGCTGCCCACTGTGGTGGCCTCAAACCACTTCTCCAGTATGGCAGCACCCAGCCTGCTGAGCCCACTGGGCCTCCAGATCCAAAACTGGATGGATGGGAATTTCTGCTGCATCTGGCGCATTGCATTAAAGTGAGAGGTTGTGGTCAGTTCTTGCTTATGTCACTTACTGACTGGGTGACCTCACACATATCACCCATGTGCGGGCATCAGGGTCCTCCTTTGCAAGGTGAAGACACTAGGGTGCCTCAAAGTTGATTCCCATGTGACATTCCCACAAGCAAGGACACGGATTCCAATTTCTCTGCATCCTCACCAATACTTGTTATTTTCCACTTCTTGGATAACAGTCATCCTAGGGCTGTGAAGAGGCAAGCTGTGGTTTGGAGCTGTTTCCCTAATAATTAGTGATCCTGAACATCTTTTCATGTGCTTATTGGCCAGTCACATATCTTCTTTGGAAAATAATCTATTTAAGTCCTTTACCCATTTTTGAATCATTTGATTTTTTTTTGTGAGTTGTAGGACCTCTTTATAGTATCTATTTTTATATAGAATCCCTTATCAGATGCATAATTTGCAAAAATATTTTCTCCCATTCTATGGTGTTTTTTCCTTCTCTCTTGATATATTGTTTCTTTGGTGCACAAAAAGTTTTAATTTTAATGAATACCACTTTATCTATTTTTTCTTCCATTGCCTGTGCTTTTTGTGTCATATTTAAGAAACCATTACTAAATCCAAGGTTGTAAAGATTTTCCCCTAGGTTTCCCTCTTAGAGTAAGTTTCTTCTAAGTGAATTAATTGTGCCTGCAAAATGGCTAAAATGGGCTACTGTCAAAAACCAAAATAACAAGTGTTGGCAAGGATGTGGAGAAACTGAATAACAAATGCTGGAGAAATGGGAACCCTGGTGCTCTGGTGGTGGCTTGTAAAATGGTGCAGCCATTTGGACAACAGTATGGATGGACGTTCTTTAAAAAGTTAAGAATAGAACTACCATATGAACCAGCAATTCCTCTCCTCAGTATATATCCAGAAGAAGTGATAGCCGGCACTCACAGAGCTCTCTGCACACCTATTTTCATAACAGCATAATTCACGATAGCCAACAGATGAACACAACCCAAATGTCCATTGATGGTGAGCAGACAAGCAAACTGTGGCATACGCACATGACAGAATATTTTTTAGCCTCTAAAAGGAAGGAAATTCTGACATATACTATGACATGGATGGACCTTGAAGATGTGACATGTGGAATAAGCCGGCCACAAAAAGGCAAAAATGACTACTAATACGAAGTACCTAAAGTAGCCAAATCCACCAAAACAGAAGCCGAATGGTGATTCCCAGCGGCTGGAGCGATGGGGACTTGTCACTTAATGGGTATAGGGTTTCAGGTTCGCAAAATAAAAAAGTTTTGGAGATCTGTTTCACAACAAGGCAAATATACCTAACACTACTGAACTGTACAGTTAAAAATGGGTAAAATGATACATTTCACATGGTGTATATATTGCCATAATGAAAACGTTTTTAAAATTATGATTTACCCCTCACCCCATACACAGGTGGTTTATTGGGCAACAGATTTTTAAATAAGGGAACAACAGTATTCTGTACACTACAGTTCATATTGGAACTTCGAGGTGAAGAACTCACTCCTGACAGGTGAACCTGATGTCTGCCATGGCGCTACTACAGAATCCTTGAGCCTAAGTGTACTTTCCTCCCTGTGGGTTCACCCTCTGGTCCTAATTCTAGCCTTTGACTCTACAGGACAAGTCTGTCCCCTTGCGGGTGGTTGGTGGCTGCTGCCCTGGTCACAGGAGCCCAGACTGACTGCATGGCTGCCCCGCACAGGACGCACGTTCTGATGGAGGCGGTGTTCCCCACTAGGAGACAGAGAAGCGGGACTCCGGGCGACACACGGCCTGTTCAAGTTTGTCACACAACCAAGCGAGCCATGGAGCCAGAACTGGAACTCGGGCATCCCTACCTCCAAAGCCAACATTTCTGATGCTAGGCTGGTTGCCTCTCAGGCAGGTTTATGGTCCCAACTGTGGCTTCTCTCCAGTGACTTTTCTCGGTATCCCTCCGCAGCGCATTGCAGGCACCACCAGGTCAGTTCCCACCAAGACAGACGCAAGTCCATCCTCTCACTACACACCCTGCCCACCTTTCCAGTGATGCCCTACCGGACCCCACACCGTACGGGGCCTGGAGGCTCCACAGAGGGACATGGCCATGGACTGGAATCCATCCTATGGCCCGTGCAGCCCCCTTTCCCCCACCCCCTGCCCTCGTGGAAAGCAGAGGCCGGCCCTATCCATCTCCTGTTGTATCTCCCTCTGGGAATTCCTGCAAAGGTGCTGGGATCTCAGGATTAACAGCCTGTTTGTTTAAAGGGCTCATTACTGGTGCTTAATGCTATTTTGACAGGTGAAAGTAAGTCAATTACAGCTGGAAATAGCTCTGCTGCTTACGTTTGTTCCAGGTGGTTGCCCATTCCCCACCCAGGGGACTTTTTTCTCTCTACCAGAGGGCAGTCCTTCTCCTCTTAGCTCTTCTGACCCCCAAACCATGTAAGAACTCTCCTCCATTCAAGAAGAAACAACAGTTTAAGGCCTGGAGCCTACATCCATGAGATGAGGGTTTCTGTGCCAGAGCCGCTCTGCTTCAGGAGTGATGCTGAAGGGAGGCCCGCCAGGTGCACCTCCAGGATGAGGGCTGTGGCCCCAGGGAGCCCGGGGTCTGTATGGGAACCACTGTGCTCCATCAGCCACGAGAGCATTTTAGTGCCACGGTCAGTGGGGGTCTGCACAATGGCCCCCTTGTGTCGCTAGAGCAGGACTGAAATGCCATGTGGTTAGATGGGCACCTGGCTGCAGGGCCTGGCCCCAGGCTGGGGTATCAGGAGTGTGGTGAGGTTTGCTTGTACCAGGCACCTCCAGCTTGGAAAAAACTCTTCCCAAACGCTGTCCCTGCACCTGCATGGGCTTCTCCCAGGCTCTCCTGTTACAGAAAGTGGCACCACTGCCGCCCATATGCTCAAGCTCTAAATGTCTGTGACCCTGCAGTTTTTCTTTCTCTCACCACCTGAGGTCCTTCAATTGAAGCCATCAGTGAAACCGGCTGCATCTTTTCCAAACTGTCCAGCAAATCCACCCAACGTCCATGAACACCGCCCCTACTCTAAGCCACCGTTATTCCCGACTCGACTGCTGCACCAGCTTCGCCCACATACTCTCCCTCTGTTCCTGCCCCCAGTCAGGGGATCATTCTCAACTCAGCACCCCCACACCCCAGCACAAGCACCACCAACTGGGCAAAACCGGCATGCCAGGGGAACCCCATCCGCCGACCCCCTCACTTCCCCAGGAAAGCTGACTTTCTGAGGCCGTGCAACTGGTGAGTAGTACGGCCAGCCTGGAAACGCATCTGGGAAAGGAACAGGGCCTGCAAGCACCTCCCACACTCGGCGGAGGCACCCTTCCCCACGGAGGGGCGCTCACCCGCGGACGGCGTGCAGCAGGCGCAGAGAGGGGTATGCAGTGCGCACGTTGACGCGGTGCTTCAGGATGAGCTCGTTGACCCACTCAACGCGCTCCTTGCCGCCCCGGGCCATGAAGGCGGGGATCCACAGGATGCTGCCGTTGAGGCTGTGCAGCCGCTGTAGCAGCTTCTCCCGCCAGGTGGCGTTGACCAAGTCCTCGAAGGCCCGCTGGATGACGGAGGGGTTCATGGTCACCAGGTCTGTCTTGAGCCCCACATCCCGGGCGTACTCCTGCACTGGGGCCAGGTTGCACCTGCCGAAGAAAACAGCAACGCGGTCCTTTAGGGAAGCTGAGACGCCGCTGCTTATGCTTAACTGCATCCGTCCTTTGCCTCTCCGGGCTTCCTCCTCATTCCAAAACAAAGACCCAGGGCACCTTCCTGCACTCACAGGAACCTCTTGTCATCCCTGCACCTTCTTCTCCTGCTGCATGAAATGTGTTGGCCTTCGGAATGTAAAATGCCTGCCTTCTGGAGTTCAGGATCTAGTAGAAGAGGAAGGAAGTGAGAAAGCCAGCCCTCTGCCCACAAGTGACCATGCTATAGGCAGGTGTGACCTGGTCACATTAGGTGACAGAGGGAGAGCTCTGAAGGCAGACTCCTGGGTTCACAGTTCAGCTCGGATACTGTCTGCCTGTGCTGACTGCTTGGGCCCACAGCCTGTCCCTGGCCTGAACTAGCTGTATGACCTCTGGTTCTCTACACCTCAACTTCCTCATTGCAACAGTGAGGACAAACTATAATGTTCCTGTCAGGGTTGTCGTGAGCAAGGGGCAATAAACATGACATGCATAGAATTGAACCTGGTAATGCTAATACATGTTAAGCAATGATCATGATAATGATTTATCTGGTCATAGGATTCTCCTTCTTGAAAGGGTACATGTGTGAAAACAAACAATGAAGTTTTGATCCCCAAGCATCTGGGAATTTACTCGGCACACATGAGACCTGAGTTAGGCAGTCTCCTCAAGCTGGCATCGCAGGCTCATGGGCACCCTGTGGGGACCAGCACTCCTGTCCACCCTGGCTCCCAGTGGCAGCATATGCAACCTGGGCACCGTGAGGCACCAGCCTCCGTGGTCCATGAATCTACCTTCTTGCTTCCATGCCCTTCCTCATGCTGCTTTCTCCTTCCCATTTTCACTTGCCAAAGCCAGCCAACTCGAATGTCACTTCTGCTGGAAACCTGCCCTGAAGGCTGCACGTTTTGTAAGCTCGTTGCATTCTGCGTGCAGTATGTCCTCCCATGGTTCATATGCAGGGTTTCTGAGAGGGCCGAGGTCTTACACATCTCCCACACAGAGGAAGGGCCCAATGCACCCAGGGCAAGGAGAACTAATTGAAGATGGGGTGACAGCAACTGAGAACATCCCACCCACCAGGACCTTTACCATGTCCATTATCTCAGCAAAGCCCCCCCTAGAACTGCTGCTGTGTGCTGGGCACAGGTTTGGGACCCAACTACCCAGAGGGGCCTGCAGGTGGGGTGGAGACACAGGGTCCACAGAAAGTTACCATTCAGGGTCAAATGCTACAGGACGGTGGTGTGGAATCCTGGGGTGACCTCCATGTACCCCAAGGCAAGACAGGGGAGGGAGTGGGCATGTAATGTACACTCCTGAGGGCGATGCTGTGCTGGGCACCTCACATACTGTCTCATGCAGTGCCCAATGTCACGCTCCATTCACTCTTTGTGGGGGGCTTTGTGTAGGATCCCCCAGGTGGAGGGCACAAGGATCCCCACGGTGGTATGAACAGAGAGAAGTGGTCCCAGTGGAGCCATAGAATATCATCCTTAAAGACCACTCAAGTCTACCCCGCAGACACGCAGATCTGTGAGAGCCACGTGCATAGAACTAAAGGTCCAAGGACAACTGCAGCCTGGTCTGAGGAGCTCCCTCTTTGACTTTTAGGACCCTCTTTTCAAAGGCCACGTGGACAGGTGTGGACGTGACTCCCAGGAGAGGCAAAGCATGCTGTGGCAAGGGCCGCAAAGGCATTAGAAATGCAGAGGCTCAGCCCAACCCGAGGCCTGATGACTCGCCAGGTTAGTAAGCTCAGGTGAAGTGTTTGCTTGTTGAAGTTTGCGGGCACTGTGCTGGCGCATGGACACTGTTCTAACAGAAGGACCTCAAGGATGGCTGGTCCCACCTGCTCGTCTTACAGATGATGAAACTGAGGCCCGGAAAGGGGAGCTGCACTCCAAGATACGTGATAAGCAGGCAGCAGAGCCAAGGCTGGCTTCTGCACACCGCGCTGCTCTTCTTGCCGTGAACGCCCAGAAAGGAGGCTGTTGGCTGGTATCTGCCAGTGTGTCTGGAAAGTCAGAAAGGCTGCCCTCAACATTGCCAGGCACCCCGGGAGGCGATCTGACCCCAGTGGAGGCACCTTTCACCCCCTCCTCACCCCACTCTCACCCTTCTCTGGCTTCTAGTCACACAAACCTGCCACACTTCCTTCTCCTCTCCACACTCACCCCCACTCCCCAGTCTTTAGAAACGAGGCTGAGCCATTGGCTATGCCAGGTCCAGGCGGAACCTGGCAAAAGATAACAAACTGAAGTTTGGCAGCTAGGCTGCAATGGATCCCCATCACGGTGGGTGCAGGAGTAAACACATCCTTCACTCCCAGTCCCATGACAAGGCTGCTTCCCGAATCCCCAGGACAAGGCTCTGTGTGTCAGGACAGCCCCAAAAGAAACACGAGATGCCACCTGCAGCCCTGCCAGGGCTGGGACACTGTTTGGGATGAAATGCAAGGAGGCTCTCTGTGTCCTACTTCTGACCAGGGGACAGCACAGCCTTGTTTCTGAGTCTGGGTCAGCGGTCAGGTGTCAGGGCCACGGGTAACTGTGTCCAAATGTGTCCCAGGAGACTGCAAAATGAGAGCTGGCATTTCAGCGAGTGGTGGGCAAAGTATAAAATCCAAGTTTCTCTGTTGCCCCCTTACTTGCCAGATTTTGACTACAGGATAATAAAGTTACCAGTAGAGTACCGCCTTCCAGAACTAACAAGAGTTCTGCACACTGGGACCAACGACTGGCCAGCCCAGGAGAGCTTTTTAACTAATCTTTTGTACCAGGCTTTATCTAGGGGGTAGCAAACTTTCTATAAAGGGTCAGATAATAAATATTTCAGGCTTGCTGGCCATAAGCTGTCTCTGCTACAATCTTCAACTCTGCCCAGCTAATCTAACTCTGTGGTGTAATGAGAAAGCAGCGAATGAGGATGTGACCGTGAATGGGCGTGGCTGCGTTCCAATGAAACTTTATTGGTAAAAACAGGCTACCTCTGTGCTGGACCAGCCCTTCTCATGGTCGCTGTATACCAGAAGCCCTCAAGCTTCCTGGGCCACATCCCCCCCTTCCCCCCAGATTGATTTAATTGGTTTAGGGTACAGTCTAGACATGGGGACTTTTGAAGGCTCCCCAAGTGATTCTAATGTGTTAAGGCTGAGACTGGGGATGAACCCAACAGTGTGTCTTGTTTCAGCCTCTTGGGACAACGGGCAGTGCTCAACTTAAATGCCTGTTGCTTCGGGCCCAGAGCCGCAACTGCAGTTACCTTATGACAAAGCTATGCGTGTCGATCTCCTGCCCACAGCCGCTGTTCAGCAGGACCCCAGAGTTGCCCACGATGGCACAGGTCCGGAAGTGCTTGTTCTTCAGTGGAGAGGTTCTGGGGAGGAGCTCGTAGAGGTTCTGGGACACGTTCATCGTGCTGTCTCGGTCAAAGATGTAGTGAATAATGTCTCCGGGCTTCAGAGTCCCCTTGAGGACAGAAATGTCCTTCTCAGCATCCAAGAACTTTAAGATTTGCTTCCTATAAAAAACCAAACACACATGAGAAAAAAGCGCCCTTGTTGCCAGCTGCCTGTTGCCACTCCAGCTTTTCCTGTCCCAAGGTACTCTGTGGGGCTTTTCAGCCAGCACACAGATGGAGCTGCAAGTTCCGATGCCCTCTGAGAACAGGTTCCAAGCAGGGATTGTCAGAAACACCCCAGAGGCCCACGGGAGTGGCCAACCTGTGGTTATGCCCTCTTCCCAGGAGATGTGATCACTGCCTTGGAAAATGACTCTATTTGGACAACGTGAGCTCATCGCTGAGGGCTCTGGAAGGATGACCGTCCTGGTTTGTACAGGACATTAGTTTTAGCACTGCAAGTCCCGTGTTTCAGGGAGTCTCTCAGCCTTGGGCCACCCCAGACAGTGGTCACCCCACATCACACTTCCCTCTCTAAGCACTAGGATGACGTTGAGTTGGGGAAAAGTTCTAGAATCATCTATCAAAGTACAAAGAATGGACAGAGTGTGGTCAGAAAAATGAGTGTCCTCTCAGAATCACCATGGGAAGTTTTCCTCAAACCACACAGGCCTGCCCCCAGGAATCGGAGGATGCTAGCTGGAGGCTTTGCTTCAAGAACTCTCTAATTGCCCAAATGATCTTTAGAAATTATTCAAGTCACCGAGAGAAAGAATTTGGTACCAGCAGAGATGAATTTCATTTCCTGCAGCGAGCCCCAATCTAGAACAGAGATGACGATGCCTGTCTGCTTTTCCACAGAGCCCTGGAGGGACAGAATCTTCAGGCACTTTGTAAATATGAGGATTTGCAGGATGGCTGCGCCCTTGTGTGGATGGTAGCACTGATGTCTGAGAGCCTGCAGCATTTGAGGTGGTGACAACCTGTGGTGTACCTCAGGAAGGATGCATTCAATCACTTTGGGAACTATAAAGAATTCAGAAGCTCTGGGCTGACATCTGAGAAATCTGGCATCTGAGAGTAGCCCAGATCTCAGCCTGCTTTCAAAAGCTCCTTAGGTGATTCATGCGTGACCAGGTTTGGGAACTGCTGGCATAGCCAAGCAGCAGCTAGACTGCTTGGCAGAGCGCCATGCTCTTTCTCTTCTCTTTCCTTATTGATGACCTGGACCTACTGCAATCATGCAGGGGAAAAGGAAAACCCCTTGCTGATCAATTTGTATCTCTTAATGGAAAACAGAGGCGTTGTTTCTATTTACTGCACTTTACCAAGGATTATACAACTTGACCAAGTAATATAGTTTGGAAATTGCTAAAAACCTTTGCAATTACTTAGCCCAAAGTATTTAAAATCAAAGAGAGCCCCCAGAAAGCCCATAAATAAACACCCTGGTGAATGAATGAATTTCAAACTAATTACGAGAAATTACTATCAATTATTAAACATCCCAAATCACTTGCAGAATCTTTTATTATGAATAATTTTGGTGATTAATTGAAGGCAACTGGAGGAAATTCTTTTCCTCCCGGGTGAAGGCACATTGCTTTTGATGAGGCGCCTGTGTGTGCGTGTGCTTCCTGCAAAGGCCACAGCCTGGTCTTCTGTGAAAGTTGCGGGGGTCAGCGGGGGAGGGTTGTCCATTTCTCTGCCTAGTGGCAGGAAATGGACATGGTAGATGGGTGTGTGCTGGTGGGAGGCTTTTACTTACAGGTGGTACAGTGGAGGAAATAGTGGCCTCCCCCAAAATATACATCCATCTCCTAACTCTTGGGACCTGTGATGTGGCTTTATTTGGAAACAGGATCTTTGCAGATGTAATTAATTGAGGATCTTGAGATGAGATCTCTTGGATTACTCAGGTGGGCCCTAAATGCAATGGTAGGTGTTCTCATAAAGGACACGAGTGGGGAACACAGAGACACAGTGGAGAGGCCCCATGAAATCAGGGACAGATACAGGAGTGATGGGGCCACATGGCAAGGAATGTAAAGAAGAACCCCCCCACAAACACACACACCCCACAGCCTTCAGAGGGAAGGTTCCAAATTCTGGCCCCCAGCGCTGGGAGGGAATACATTTCTGCTGTTTGAGGCCACCCAGTTGCTGGAAATTTGTTATGGCAGCCCTAAAACCGAATGCACATGTTCTCTCTGACTCCAGGGGCAGTAATGTGGCTGTTAGGAAGCCCAATGTGGCTGCAGGCCTGCCCTGTGGGCCTCAGAAGAGGCACTGAGTCCTCTTCAGAGGGCTTCTCAGGTGCCAGGTCCCAGATTTCGTGCTTCTTTATTCCCTCACATCTGCTCCTGTCCTACTACTAAGCCTTGAGAACTCAGGGGCAGGGGCATTTCCATTCTGACAGTGAGCCTACCTGGAGAGGGTGCCTCCCGGCTCTGTGTGGTGACACTGTTGGAAGCTAAGGGTAATGCTGACCACTGTGCCTCACCTCCCCATTCTCTGCTCCCTCCCCTCTTGATGACCTGGGAAGGCAGCTATGCATGTGGTCAAGGCTCTCCCCAGCTGATCGTGGCTACCGCCCCTATCTCAATGTCCCCATTCTGCTCTTGCTTTGTGCACCAGCAGCACCGAGCATAAGGCTGTGTGCAAGTGGGATGCCATTGGCATGCCTGGCAAACTCCTAGTTATCCTTCAAAACCCACTGCTCCTTTCCCGGCCAGCCCTCTTAGTTCCCTTACAAAATGAAGTACTTGCGTCCACATGATCTGTTTGTTTGCAACTATTTATAAGATGCAATACTGCTAGTATGTATGTCACACTGCACTGCCCTGCCTGCTTCTGCCAGCAGGTCTGATTCATGTCAGCACTTCTGGCTCCCAACACACTGCCTGGAAGGACGGCTGACTTCGGGTCCTCTGTGAGAGGCCATCTGTGGCCCCTGCGCCCCCAGGCTCTCTGCTGCTCACCTAAGAGCCTCAGTCCTTCCAAACCAGGACCTCGCCCGGTGCTCCCCCACCTCCCCAGCCCAGCTTGGTGCATACATGCGCTGGGCAGCTGGGCTTGCCTCGGATTTTATTTCCAATTGATCGCTTACAGATGAAACCTGCCTCAGTGGGAGGTAAACCTTTTATTTCTATCCTGACTTCTTGAGATGATGGAGGGCAGCAATTTGCTGGCTTGTGCTGAGGAAGGCCAAGTCTGTCTCTTGTCCTGTAGGTAACTACCCCTACCTGATCCTCAGAGAGAGCGTCTGGTTGTGCCTCCATTTGGTCGAGGCTGACTGGATATTGTGTTTAATGCTTTCATTACTTCTGTCAACAACAGCTGGTGATGAGGAGCCATTTATTACAACTTCAGCTCTGGAAAGAAGAAAAGAAAAAAAGAGGAAGAGGGTCGCCACGATCTGTTAGCAGGAGGACGACAGGTCTAATAGTTTTTTTGTTTCTGTTTTTTGCACCGGCTTGAATGGAAACTTCAGAAGAGTAAAATCGCAGTTATTACCTGAGAAGGGAAGGAAGCCTATTTATCTCCTAGAATGCACAAATTCGCTCCCTCGGGTATCAGCTCCAGACATTTAGGAGACAGGACCAGGGTGATGAAAATCTCATCCTCCCCACCTCCCAGCACTGTTCCCTCCCAGTGAAACCTAGCAGCCACTGGCAGAATAGTAATGCTTCTCCAAGTTATCTTTGTGAAACTCCCCCAAAGCAGCTGCATTACCAGCCAAGTACTGTAAGATGGTTTACAAACTTAGTAAAGAGAAAACAAAAATTCATAGCATGGGAATGTGATGTAGTCTGCAGTTTCTCCCTCCTCCCCACCCCGTTACTCCCTCCTCTGAGGCTCCGAGATGCCACTTGAACATCTGCCTCTGTCTCCTGCTAGGCTCTAAACAGGGGAGCGCCTCCCTCACTTCTATATTCCCCACGGGGCCAGCACAGCAGGTGCTCAATACATAAGTATTTGTTGAGTTTGAATTCGACTCTGGGGGAGCCGAGATGGATGAAGGAGCTGTTTTATGCCTGGGGCAAATTACGATTCTGGGGGCACACACCATTTTTCCACCTGACTCAGGAAAAACATCGTGCATTACAGGACCCGCTTGGATTCTGAGGCTCAAAATCTATGCTAGTAGGTTTCCCAGAAACTAGGTCACAATTACAACTCTAAAGGCAGCATAGTAGCCGGCCTGCCTCTGCCGGATGCACACAGATGCATGTGGGTCACATCAGGAGTTCCTTTTGTCTGCACTGATGGCAGATTCTCTAAGTTACAATGATAAGTGGATTTGTGATCCCAAATTCTGGCTTTAAAGAATTCAAACCAAACATCTGTGACCTCTGCATATATCTTGGAATGGCCAAGTTAAAAAAAGATGAAATCCTTTTAACAAGGTCTGAGCCCAGTACTCTATTTTACTTTTTGGAGGTAGAGAAGAAATTCACTTGTGGGTGCATGTTGTCCGCACATTCCCACACCGCACGCCTCTGTTCCTCATGATTCCTGATGCCTCTGGCTTCGGTTCAAACACACGTAACTCTTGCAGAGCTACATGCTAGACCATGAAGGGTTCTGAGTAGGGCAGAAGGGCCCCTCCAGCATGCAGGCCTAAGGGGAACCTAGGAGAGGAAACAAGACCTGACCCTTTAGAATTTTTGCTGTTTTCATGAAAGGAAGCAGAAAGTGTAGTGAAAAGATAGCACAAGCTGTGTGACTGTGGGTAAATCACTTTACCTGTCTGAGCTTCAGTGTCCCCATTTATAGAAAGAGGGTGTAGAAGAGGGAGATGGCCAGCTCCAAGGTTCTAGAAGGTTCTGGAAGGACCACCAGTGTCTCCAGCACGTATCCTTAGGAGCTGGCTGTGGCTGCATCCACAGAAATCTCCCTACTTCTGTATAGGCCACGGGTAGGTGAGTGACCTCAGGACCACAGATTTAGCTGCAATACCCACAGGCCCCAAACTCCACCGCAGCTTATATCAGAAGGTATAGGTGACAGAAATGCTCTAATATTTGTGATGAGGAGTTGTCTTCCTAAAAGGCTAGCTGGTGTTCTTCTCAGTAACCAGTGACTGGAGCCTGGTATCTTACAGCTTCAGGTGGAGTCAATCTTAGATGGTGCTGGAGTGTATGGGTGACCCCACGCTCTCTTAGAAAGGAAGTATCTGCAGAGGTATTGATCATAGATGCTGGTGGAGGGGCCCTGCTTGGGAACTTCCAGAAGGGGTTTCTAGGCTTCTGTGGGATACCAGGTGGTGAAGGTAGACAGAGAAAGAGACAAACACTGGCCCAGATAACAGCAAAATTCCATTTCTGTCTCTACTTCCAAGTGAAACCTCGGATATGATCTCGCATGGCCACTGTGGTCTATGGTGTAAATCTGTGGGTAAATCTCTTTGTCTCTCTTACTGGACTTTAACCCTAGCTCTGTCGCTATTAACCTGGGGGACTTGGGAAAGTCATTTTGGGTCTCTGGCCTCTGCTTTCTTAGGCGTAAAATCAAGGGGATGGATCAGATAAACAGAGGGACCAGCTCGGTTCCCTGGGTGTACATGCTCTGTGTTGTTGGGGAGAGTCCTCATCAGTGAATGTGTCCTCCTGTCCCCAGGCCCCTGCACCCCGATGACCCTAGAGTCTCATTTCAGGCATAAGGTTTTCTGCCTACTTCAAGGCCATCTCCCGATGCCATGGATACTTCCACAGTGACGGTAATGAGCATCAGTTGAGTGCCTTTAACATATCATGGGTTTGACTAGAGCCTTATATTCAGAGGTTCTAGTGCTTGAAACACCCCTGAAAAAAGCTTTGCATTATTGTTCTAGCTGAATGAGGACACCAGGGCTCTGAGGGGTGAAACCGCTTGCCTCCGGCCCCAGCTAACAGGCATGGGGACCGAACCTGGGTCTGCCTGGCCCCCAAGGCTGTTCTTCCTACTTCGCCTACTCAATCCCAATAAGGCTGTGGTCTCGGGCCCCCCAGGTACCACAGGGCACAGGAATCCTGTTTGAGAGGCAGGATCTTCTTTCTCCAAAGGAGGGCATTTTTCCACAGTAGAAGAGAGTGGAACTTGGGGCCACACGGCCTCCCCTTTTATTCCTGCTGTATTGCGTTTCACCAGGTTTAGCGTAAGCTCTGTTTCTAGTTCCAGGATAGTTAAGAGATCATTAGCGATCTAGAAGCAATGTCAGGGACAGAGAGCGCAGTGTCCTAAGTCAGTCATCCAGGATCAGGAATGGACATAACTTGAAGGTCTCCTCTGGTCAAGAGACCAAAAAAATGGATGGGCAAATAACAGACCCTACTCCGAATAATTTCCACCTCTCATTCCCAGACTAACCAAAATGGTAAATTTAGAAAGTAAAACAAGGCCTTCATTTTGAGTGGCAGCCTTTCTTTAGGTCAAATAACTTGCGATTCTCTTCTCCTTTCCACTGTTCCTCAAGCTTGGGCATAGAAGACTGTAGGTCGGAGCTATGGGGCAGTTGTCATTGAGAGTTGGGGGCTCAGAGGCATGGTCCAGCCATAGCCAGGGGCAAGCCTGGGTCTGCTGGCCTGCAAAGCATTTGCTTACCACCCTGCAATGAGCTGTCCCCTGGCCAAGGACCATCACGTGGGAAAACATTTCATAATTTAGAGTGCACATTCAATAATCAAGGTTAACATGACTGAGCTGACTCCCAAGTATTTTTCAGAGGTCTCCAAAAAGTTCCTGAATGCTTTATTTTCCATCTTGACCTCCTGGATAAGCCATCGACCACCATAAAATTAGGTGAGAATCCTGATTCCCTTCAGTCTCTACTGCTCAGCAAAAAAAAAGCAAGTTATGAATAAGCTCATCGGTGGAGCAAGTGCTTCAAAGTGTGTGGGCTCTTCTCCAGAAAGCAACTCTTAGCCTTCCGAGCTTTCCATCTCTGCAGCCTCTTGACCATGGGCCACTTCACGGGCTTATCTGTCCACAGCTCCTCCCCAAAAGTGATTAAGAAAATGCAAAGCCAAAGTGAAACATAACAGATCTATCTGCTAAGTAAGAAGGGCACCAGCCAGCTAGGAGGAGAAGCAGATTAATAGCTGCCTTACAGCAAAAACAAATGAACACAAAATCTAATTTACAAACCTATTAGATTTGCTATGTAAGCCGTTCACAGCTGATCTGATTGTACCTCTGCCTCCAGAATTCCTGCAAGACAAAGGAAATGCATTATTTATAAACCCAGCTCTTCTTTGCCAGGTCCTCTTCAATCACCAGGAGACCCTGCAGCCTGTCTGGAGAACTACAGACGGAGGATGACATCTCACTCTGGCCTCTCCAGAATGGGCAACATCCTGGCCCCTCCCCGCACACCCAACCATCTGACAGGTAAGTAGGCCTCTCAATCCTCCCCTGCCTCCCACTTGAACATTGTTTGAATTCATACCAAGGTGTCCACTTGAGACTCTCATTTGAGTCTGGAAACAAACTCCTTTGGGATTAATTTTCCCCTGGTTAATCCCACGGAACAGCAAGGCTCAGCATGATTCAGCATCTGCTCTAACATGACTCAGCTCCCACCCCTGGTCTTCCCTTGCTTTCCCTCTTATGGGTAAGACGTTCCTCACAATCTCTCCAAACCTGAGGCACCGGAAACTCAGAAGAGACAGCAAGATAGACTCAACAGTGCTTCCAACCAAATGTGTTAATGATTTGCTTTTTGGTGGCAGGAAAGATACTAGTAAGTGGTGATACTTTGGTGGGGAGCAGGAGATGGGTGAGTAGTGGGTCCTTTGCTTTTCCTCTGGGAGATAGGTTTCTGGAGTAAAAGCATTCTAAGTCCTTTCCAGCCCCACCATCCTCTCAGTTCTACAAAATTCCATTCTGGATGGGGCCCACCAGGCTGTGACATTCCACCCTGCTTTACTACCACTCAAGGCTGGGGGATAATCAATCCATCTCCTCTGATATCTAGTCTGCTTTGTGCTTTGTGTGTGGTTTTAAAAAGTGATATGTCAGGCTAATTATTTTGACTAAATACTTCTTTTCCCCACTGATTTATAGGATGTATGGTTTGAGGAGATATATCTTTGTATTTTCTCGTTTTTTTTTAAGTTCCATCTAGCCTTTTAGTCAAAGTGTTGGCGCGCTCCAAAGAAACGAAGAAAATCACTGGAATCCTGTAATGAGGACTCTTTGGGGGAGGTTAATACCTATCTCCACGCTGGTTTATACTCTGGACTTTTCTGTGCTTTCTTTAGTATTAGCATCCAGGGGACTATAACAGTGTGTGTGTGTGTGAACACAAATACACGTCTTTGCCAGATGGGTTGAAATGTTCCCTCAGTTTGATTTAGCAACGTTCCCCCATGTCTAAGCCAGGCAGGCAGACCACAGCAAGAGTGCCAGGGCTGGCCCGGTGCCCCCTCCCAGGCCCACTTTAGGCCTCAGATTTCACCACTGCCAATACAGAGAGTATTACTGGTCCTTCACATGTTAAATCAATGTTGGGTATTTCTTTTTGCCCCTCCTGGGGTGGCGGAGCTACTGCACTTCTAACTCAGGGGTTCTGGGAATTTCCAGCCGGCTCTGGCCCTGTAACCATACTCCCCTGGGTCAGGCCCCAAGGGCTCGCCTGGGCAGGCTGCTGTCCCCATGTCCCTGACCTTTCACATCCCTCCACCCTGACCCCGGCCCTCGGACTCAGTACTTCTTCGGGCGAGGAAAGACCTGCTGGACCAGAGAGTAAGTCAAGTACAGTAATGAAAAGTATGGTAATAGCTCAAGACTAATGACAGGTTAATGGAATGAAAAGATTGGCCAAAAATGCTGCATGAAAGAACTGATGAATGATTTAAAAAAATCATTATCAAGGAGAAATTCAATAAATGATCTGGAGTACTTGGCTAACAACCTGGAGGTGAGCTGGAGGGAAATCAGTTCAGTGTTACCCTACTTGAGTTGGCAAAATAAATTTCAAGTGGATTTGGTTCCCCAAACTTTACTAATTCTCATGTCACTAGCACCAGTTTGCCCTATGTTGATTATCACACACACTATTATCAACTTAAATTTTAAAATCAACTCATCTTTAAAAACTTCTTATCCTAAGCAACACCATCTGTGAAATACAGGTTTGATATAGCAATTATATATTCATTTGAAAGGAACACAAAAATATGAATGGAATTCTTAAAATCATCTTACATTATCACTAAGAATAGACATATAGCATCCTTTGGGAAAGACTGACTTCAACAATTAAATGTTTAAAGAAAGTAATCCATAAGAAATTGAGAGGAAAATGAAAGAGAATATTTATCAAATCTTTGATGAATTGTAAGGAGTGTATGTGAAGGACTTTTTAAATTCAGAAGTATAAGAAGAAATTGTAATAGAAAATATAGACAGATTTGACTTCATAAACATTTTAAAACTCTGCTTATACAAAAGGCAAATCTCAACAAATTCTGCTCAGTGTCTTTCATGAAATCTAAGAGGGCTCCAGGTGTGGAGAGTTCTGCGTCTGTGCATCTATCTGGTTTAATGGAACCAGGGGACGGAGAGGACCAATTGCCTGGCAGCAACTCCCTCCCATTGTCTTTCTCTTTTCCTGCCCCGTAGCCAGGTGCAGGGGAGCATCAGATCTTGCTGACTTGGGTACCACAAATCCATGCACTTTTTCATACCAATCCTTCCTTGAACTCAGGGTTTTGCAACTCCCCCACTATTCACATTAGGAGATATTTCTTTGTTGGTGGGGTGGAGATGTGGGACTGTCTGTGCACTGTGGGAGGTTCAGCAGCATCCCTAGCCTTTACCCCACTTTATACCAGTAACAGCCCTTCCCTCCCCCCACAAGTTGTGACAACCAAAAATGTCTTGAGTCATCACCACATGTCCCTTGGGGAAGTGGAACAAAATTGTCTCCATTTCAGAACCTGTGTTCCAACTCTGGTCTGGGAAGATGAATCCCCCACCAGCCAGCCCATCCGCCTCACCTTTCCGAGCTAAGCCCCAAGTCCAAAATCTGTGCCTCCCTTCAAGACCATCTCCACTGTCAGTTCTGGGCTACCTTTTCCTCCTTTTCCCAAAGTGTTCAGTATCATCACAGCACGTTCACGTTCTTTTTGTATGTAATTATTTCATGGAATCACAGATGGGAGCTTTAAAGAAATCTTATGTACATAGTCTAAACTCCTCTTATAGTTGAGGCACCCATGGCCCAGAGAGTTGGTACTGGTTTCAGCTACCTTGGCCACTCACCACAGTAGCCCATAAGCCTCAGAAGTAGCCCATAAGCCCCATGGAAGGTATGTCTTAACCATGTCCTTTATTTTTTCTATTCTGATGTTTTGACATCAGAGGCCCTGCTGGCTCTGGGGGCCTGCCCCTCCCAGAGTTAGCCAATTCCTAGAGGTAGTAAGCAACTCACAGGAAAAGCCCCTTCAAATGCAAACCAACCAATCGAAGGCCTCATTCCCATCACCACCTTTACTGGCTCTCATATTCTGGGCCGCTATCCTCTGCCCTCAGCAGCCCAGAACCAGCTGTACTAGACAACCAGGGACAGTCCTATGTCCCAGAGTGGGCTGGAATTACTCAAACCAAGCTATCTTCAGCCTAACTGGCCCGCCTCACGGAAAGCACAATAAAGGCTCTTCCTTCCCAAGGAAAGCACAATAAAGGCTCTTGTCCACAGTTTCTGCCTCTCTCTGTGCCTCCTGAGTGGTCTGGTAGTTCTCCACGTGGCCCTGCATGGTGTGGAGTTTCCCCTCCTCTCGGGATCCAGGAGCATGACAAACTGTCTTCTCAGTGGCAGTCGTTCCCTTACCTGTTAGTCTGACCATACCTAAATAGCAGTAAGACCTGTATTAAAATGGGGAGGGGAGGACGCTGTCCTGTTCACCTTCTCAGCCCTCCACCGTGCCTTGCCCAACAGGGGCTCAGGGAAGCAGCTTTAATTTCAGTGGTAAGTGGGACTATTCTTCCAAAGTCCTCCTTGCAGTTTGCGCGCCTATGTTCCTGCATAAGACAGTTTTACCCGTCAGACACTCATGGCACGGGACAGACCATCCCTCATGGAAACTCAGACTGTGGGTGATGTTTGGCTCCAAATGAACCCCATGAATTGACAGATTTTTTTTTCTAATTAGGTTTTGCCTCCAACTTACATTCCTTGTGATGGGGGAATGCTGATACCTGCTTGGTTGAGCGACAGAAGAAGATAATCAGGTGAGAAAAATTTGCTAAAGATAGTTTACAATGTGCTGAAATCATAGAAACAAAGGTGCTTAGAGCATCCAAATGAGAACATGTACGGGAAAACATTTTGCGCAGTATAAAGAACTCCATAAAACAAGGTGTAATATTAGTAATAACCATTCTCCATTTGACCCTGCTAAGTATGCTCAGCTACTGTGATGATAGAGGTGGACTGCTTTGAAGCTGTACATTTTAGGGTGTCAATTTCCTTTTCACTACTGACACGATACTCCCTCTAAGTAGAGTAAAAGACAGTAAACTAAGACAATAAATAAAAACGGTATGTTAAAAAAAAAGACACCATGCGAAGTTGGATCTCTTTTTAGTGTTAAGCAGTTAGCAAACCTGAAAATTGTATTTCTGATTAGCCTCTTCATCCAAGCCCAGTTGTTTACAGGTAAGGTAATGTCTAGCATGTTGGGCTCTCATAGCTGTGTTAGAATCTCCCATGTTCTTGGTTTTCCAATGGGGAGTCAGGCTTAGTAAATTAATTTTCAGGAGCTGAAAGCTTTATTTAAGAGTCGGACCCAACTTAAACATTTGACTAGTCTTGAGAATAGAAATTAAAGCACAATTCATGAATTTGCAGATAGTTCTTCCTCTATAATTTTGGGAGGGTACCAAATGCTTTTTTTTAAAATTTGTGTTCAAAACAACTGGGTTCCTGCCTGTGGATACTCAAGGGACACACTATAAGCATGTGGCTTCATATACACTTGCTGAGAGCAAAAGATAAGGAAAGGGATGATTTATTGGGGTCAGTCACATGAACAGTGCTGGGGCTCCCAGTAGAGTTCAAGGGTAGATTTCTTTTTAATTGTAGTAAAATACATATGACAAAATTTCCATTTGAACCCTTTTGAAGTGGCATAGGTATATTCACAATGTTGTGTAGCCATCAACATTCTTTATCTCCAGATTTTTATCACCTCATACAGAAACTCTTACTAACTCATTAAATAATAACTCCCCAAACCCTCTTACCCCTGTCCTGGTAACCTCTATTCTATTTTCTGTCTCTGTGAATTTGCCTATTCAAGTATTTTATATAAAGTGGAATCATACAATACTTGTCCTTTATGTCTGGCTTTTTTCTAGTACAACACTGAGATATAATGAGTCATAAGAAATACATATTTGGTCATTCATATGATCAAATATATATTTCCCAGGTATATTTGGTCTTCATCCACAGTTCCTGAAAACACTGCAGAGTCTTAAAAGTGAAATGGGTGTTTTTCCATGTTAATAAGAGACTTTTGGACGCCTACCCAAGGGCAGGGGCTGGAGGTTGAATCAGCCAATGGCAAATAATTTAGTCGATCATGAACATGCAATGAAGCCCTCCCCAAAATCCCTGAGAAGAGCTTGTTGCTCTCTGCTTGGCTCAGCTGGATCCTGTTTCTCTGTTGTGGGGAGAGGGCTTCTAAGTGTGGGGAACCAGAATTCCCCTACATGCCCCCAAGCCAGGCCCCAAACGCCGTAAGGACAAGCTCTCTTATTTGGGACCTTGCCCTGTGTTTCTCTTCATCTAGCTGTTAACTTGTATCCTTTAGGAAACTGGTGAACCTAAGTGCTTTCCTGAGTTCCACGAGCTGCTCTAGCAAATTAATCTAACCTAAGGGGGGAGGTCGTGGGAACCTCCAATCTGTAGCCGGTAGGTCAGAAGCACAGGTAGCAAGCAGCCTGGGGTTTGCGACAGCCGTCTGGAGTGGGGTGGAGGGCCGTTTTGTAGGACGGAGCCCCTAACCTGGGGCATCTGGTGCTGTTTCTGGGCAGATAGCATCAGAATCGAGCTGAGTTCTTGGACACCCTGCCTGTATTTGAGAATTGCCTGGCGTTAGTATGTGTGGGAAGACCCCCCTCCCACATACTTATACACATGGAATTGGGTCTGGGAACCTGAACAGAGCTATACTACTATTACTGCTGTGCATAATATTGTTATTGTTATATATATGTAGGAAAAGACTACACCCTTGCAGATATTTTCCAGGTTCATCCATGTAGCAGCGTATGTCGGGAGCTTGGCTTTTGATGTGGCAGTTCTATGGAGGCAGAGACATCACAGAGACAAGAGAAGGAAGGGCCTCCAAAGTGTCTGTATCTGGACCCTTGAGCACCTGTGATTAGAAAGGGCACACAGGTCCCACCAACTGAGCAGTGCTTGAGTGGCTCAGGGTCTCAGCCTTCCCAGGGCTTACTTGGCCAAGAGCTTCCTGAATTTGTTGCTGGCAAGTTGAGCTTTGCTATCCATCTTCTCCTCCATGGAGCTGGGTGTACTTGGCCAAGAGCTCAGATGGCAAGAGACCCAGGCTTGGTTGATCCAGGGCAGATCCTCACCACGAGGCTAGCAATGCAAGTATCTTCCGTTGCCCTAGCACAGAGGGAAACATAGCAGCCCATTCCTCAGACTGGGCTTGTTTGCACTCCTGAAAAGAGTATCACAGAGTCGGATTCATTCTGAACATGAGGCAATCGCATGAGTTCTTGCCCATAAGCCTGGTAAATCGTTGTGGGCTGGTCACCATGAGACCATCCCGTGCCACCTGGTTACCACCTGCACTAGTGGAGAACTTCTCCAAGCTTCCCAGTCATCCTGGTCTAAGACATCTGCAGTAGACCCCACCGGGTAGTCCTTGATGAAGGACTTGAACCCATTCACCAGCTGGTCAGGAGTAACGTTAAGAGCTGGGGTCATCAGGAGACCTGAAGTTCAAGGTCATATTTTCTAAACTCTAAGATCTAGGGGTTACTGCATCCTTGCAGTCCACAACCTTATCTACGTAGCCAGCCTTCCCGATGACGTTCCACAGCAACTCCAAGGATATGAATCAGCAAACTTTCCCTTTGAGGGGCCAGACAATAAATATTTAAGGCTTTGTGGGCCAAAAGGAAAAACTGATGATCTCACACAGATGCAGGTACTTAAGCCACAAGAGGGACAACAAATTTCCACAAATTTCTTCTTGATGAAATTAAAAATATAAAATAATAATAAATGAGTATCTCTATTTTGGTAATTGGGCTATTGATGAGAATAATGTAATTCTTTTTTGGAGGGGGATGAGATTTTGCTCAGTTGAGGTGCTAAGTTAGTGTCCTTACCATGGTGGTAGAAAGGCGGCCTCATTCTTCCACAAAGTCTTCCCTTGCAAGGTCTCTGCAGCACGGTTACCTGCTCCCTGGTGAACTCAGGAGTGTGTGGCCGGAATCTCTCTTTCCCCTCGGTATGGTTTTGGAGGACTTTTCCTATGGGGAAGCAGGCTAAGAGCCTGGCTCTGTGCCGAGACCGCCTGGGTCTGAATTCCAGCTGAACTAATCATTATTTCTGTGATCTCTGACATTTGCTTAACTTACCTAGGAACTTCCATTTGTTTCCTCATCTATGAGGTGAATAACAGTATATACATCACAGGGTTGTTACAACAGTTTCATAAGCTAATGAACACAAAGCTTCAGAACAGTGCATGACATACTGTATGTAACACACTCCATGCTGATGTTACACGTCTTCTGTTTTTCTCCAACTCTTTAAAAATGCAGAAATATTCTTGGCTTGAAGGCCACATGGTAACAGGCAGCGGGCTGGATCTGACCTGTGAGCCTGATTTGGCTGACGTGTGCTTTAGGGTGTTAAGAGCAAATCACCCCTCATCATCCATAGGAGACATCTTTGCATATTTCTCCTTGGTGACATCCCCTGGTTGAGGTGGGCTTCTGCTCCCGTGAGCAGGGCTTTCTTGAAGTCACAGCTCCAACAGGGAGGACGACGACTCCTGCACTGCCGGCTCATGACCAGTGCGAGAATGACAGTGAATTTCACTGAAAGCTGGAACTCATCAGTCACTTCTAGATTGACAGCCCAGGACTCAGTGTGACCACAAAGGTCGTAACAGCTTCGGCTTTATAGGCAGCCAGCAATACTTCTAGTATGGTATCTGTAGCAAATTTAGATATATTCCCAGTGTCACCCACTCTCATCAGGAGAGTTTGTCACTCTCTTCCAGTTCTACCCACCCACCTCACAGACTTCCTGATGTGCTCAAAGTCTCTGAAACACTTCTCCTTTAGAGCAAGTCTTGTCATTGGACAGAAGCTCCTGAGCCTTACAGATACTGGTACAGAGCTCTGGAGAGGCCAGTGTAGGTTTCAAACATGACAGGGTGTTTCCATGACAACTGAGATCTCCAGCCCTGTAGGTGCCAACGGGGAGGGTCAAGCTCACGGATGTCCCTCTTCTTGTGCCACTGAGCTCTCCTCATCGACTGTTCGGCTCTTTCTCTACCGTCCTCTCTCCCTTTTCTTTAAATATTACTTTGCTTCAATTTATCCATTTGCTTCGATTTCAGCAAACTTTTGCTTCTTCATCAGCTTTCATCCACATACAAAAAGGAACCAGCTCACTTTTGGTTTTTTCCTTTGTTGAACTTCAGATAACATCTATGAAAACTTCGGGCTTTGATTATGTGCCAGCCAATTTCTCTGGTCTTTCAATAAAAGTACCCATAGGCCCCTGCACATCAAAATGCAAGTGCACAAGTCACTTGGATGCCAGACACTTTGCAGGATGCTTATTCCTGATCCTTCCTCTTCATGAAGCTGTCACCTGTAACCAGGGTGGGGGACACTGAATTTATCACCCAAACCAGAACACTTTCAGAGTAAGCAGATGCACTGACTGGAGATGATATATAAACTGGGATTACCAAATCATGTGGGATACACCATCCTTCAATCTGCACTCATTTTACAAAGGAGACTTCAATGAAAAGTCTTTATATACAAAGACTTACTTCTAAGAGAAAGCTGTGTTCCCAAATCCAGATCGCTCAAAAAGCCAGAAACCAAAGTAATTAACACTCAGAGGCGATACATATCTCTGCTGTTGGGTGAGCTGGAGATGGATTGGTGTAGCTGTCACAGAAAAGCCTTCTTCTGTAAGTTGTTCACACCACAAGACTTATT